CGAGGCCTTCCGGAAACGGATGATGCTGGCATACCGCTTCCGGCCCAACCCCCTGGTACGGGATAACGGGATAACGGGATAATGGGATAACGGGAACACGGGAATGGGATAACGGGATAACGGGGTAACGGGAATGGGATAACGGGAATGGGATAACGGGATAACGGGGTAACGGGAATGGGATAACGGGAATGGGATAACGGGATAACGGGAATGGGATAACGGGATTGGGATAACGGGAATGGGAACACGGGATAACGGGGTCAGCGGGCACGGGGCCTTCCGGAAACAGATGATGCTGGCATACCGCTTCCGGCCCAATCCGCTGGTACGGGATAACGGGATAACGGGAATGGGATGGGATGGGATGGGATCCCAGTGGAGCTGGGAATGGGAATGGGATGGGGCTGGTGATACGGGGGTGTCCCAGGAATGGATCCATTGGAATTGGAATTGGAAAATTCCTCTTGGATTCTCTCCTCATCCTGGATCATCCTCCCAGAATTCCCCGGATGCAGAATTCTCTTTCCCATTTCTTTTTTTTTTCATTCCAATCCCGATTTTATTCCCGGCTTTATCCCAATTAAAGCCCTGCCAAGGGAAGATTCTCCATGAATCCCGGGATTCCTTTGGAATTACCATTTTCCAGGGGGCAAAAACAAGCTTGGATTTTCCCTTTCCAGCCGAAATTTTTTTTGGGGAAAAAAAAAAAAAACGGAAAAAAAGTCACAATCCAGTGGCTTTCCCAGAGAATCCAGATGCTGATTTTTGGGATGAAATTCCCGATCCTGATGATTTTTCCTTTTTTTTTTTTTTTTCTCCCTACAGAACAACCCACGACGACCTTACTACTGAGGAAGGCTTTTCCCACCAGATTTCCTGGGAATTCTTATCCCAAACTTCATCCATCTCTTTTTTCCCCAATATTATCCAGCTTTTTTTGGAATCACAGCTCCTCTTTCCCCCCATGGAAAAGCTTTCCCAGCTTTTTTTTTTTATTATTTTTGGGACACACGAGGAGGATTTGGAGCAGCCCCAAAAAATCTCCCCCAAGGGGATCCCAATTCCAAGGAATTTGGGATTTTTGGGAATGGCAAATCTTGTGCTGCTCCAGGAGTGGGGGAGGGTGGGGGATTTTATTCCTTGATTTTATCTTGGAATCCCAAATCCAAGAGATTTGAAGGAATTTCGGGGAACCAGTGCCTCCAGTTTTGCCTCTGGATGAGCGGATCCGTTGGGAATTCCAGGATTTTATGGATCCAGGGGGGGATTTGTTCCCTTCCCAGGGAACCTCCTGTGCTTTGGGATGATGAAGACCCAAAATTCCAAAGCCACACTTTTGGAAAAATCCAACCAAAAAAAAAAAAAAAAATTCCAGCACCACGCTTTGGAAAAATCCAGTTGGATTTTATTGTCCTAAAAAGGACAAAAAAAACAAAACAAAAAGACAAAAAACCTCTGGAAATGCAAATTTTCTTCACGGAGTTCTGTAAATAAAATCAAGTTTGTTTGTTCCTTAGGTTTA